CTCTCCCCACAAATGTATTCAATGTTGTATCATTGAACTTAAACCCTAGGATCGATTTTTGTAGTGCCTGATTAAAATGAAAAAAGGAGGAAAAAAACAATTCAGGTTTCTTCGTCGTGTTGTTCATTCTAAAAATCTAGGGCTGTTTCCTAGGGTTTTTTGTGTAGAAACCCATGCGGCTATGTTTAGTGAGGTAATGCTGCTTTTTGTGTGATTCCTCTTTAAAAATCGAGATCAATAGATGAATCGCTGCCTAGTTTCAAGATTCGTGGGCAATCTTGGATGGTCCATTAGAATTTTCTCTTAAAAAAACTAAATTTTTCGTGCGTATAGATGCTGCCGTAGTCTATTCCAAGAGTGGAAACATGGAAATACTTAGACTTGGACAATTTGGTGTCACACTAGTTTATTCAAGTGTGAGAAAATGACTATGCTCAAATCTGAATGACAAATATCTCTCTCTCAATTTTTTTTTTTTTTTCTAAGTTGGTCCTAGCATCGCAGTAGGCTTGGGGTGAGTGACTATATTATGTTGACCTTGGTTGCCTTCTTTATCTTTTATTTCCTACACTCATGGATAATGAAATTAATCCTGGAGCCTTCAGTCTTCTTGAACAAGTGGGAATACAAATTAATTCAATAAAATTCAGTGTATGGGCTTAATCTGTTTAAGTATCCCCTGGTGCTGAGGGGAAATTGAAATATCTGATTGAGGACACACCTAGTGAATCTGATAGTAGATATGAAGAATGGACGAGAGAGAAGTACATAATAATGACTTGGTTGTGGAGTAGTATGGAACCTCTAATAATTGCACCTGTAATGTATCTGGACACTAATAAATGGGACACTGAAAGAAATATATTCATCAGATAAGAACATCTCTCAGGTATATGAATTGCTTGACAAAATGTTTCAATTGCAACAGGGTAATAAGACTGTGAATGAATATTATAGTGCCCTTAGAGGTACGTGGGAAGAGTTGAATCTGTATCAGCCTATATCTAGTGATGTGGAATTATAGAGGAAGCAACATGAGGAATTCAGAGTAGCTAAATTCCGAGTAACATCGTGTTCTTGAAAATATTTTGACAAGCAATGAGCTACCATCCCTCAATAATGTGCATGCCCGCATTCAATGTGTCAATATATCTGCCCCTCCCACGCCTTCTTCTGACTTGGTTGTTAGTCAAAACAATGCAGGAAATAAAATTTAGCGTAGAGTAGATAAAGGATGAAGAGCAAGATGGAAGAAAGGATCAATGCTCTGATACCATGTCAGAGAGAGAGAGAGAGAGAGTCCAATAGACCTAACATAGCTCTCATATTTTCTTTTATATTAATGAAATAAGAAAAATGACAATACTGCTCATAAAAGCTGGAAATAGGATATATAAGGTCAAAATGACTTAAATGAAAGAGAAATAAAGATAAAAGGACTTTTAACAATGGCCTAGTGGTTACCACTTCCTACTTGCATGCTTTGGGTGCAAGGCATAACTTTTTGTCCTGCATTTGTGGCCATAGGTCATTGGTATGGACTCCACTTTTCTAGTTTGCATGAGTGAGCAGCTAGTTTGTCAGGCTATTGTGATGCTATTAAGTTCTAATCTTGCATGACGGAATACACAATTGGTACATACCTGTGTAGTTTTGTTATGTATTATCTGTTGTTTAGTGCTTCAAGTTTCTCTCTATAGATTTGTTTGGCTGGTGTATAATGGGAATCTGCTCTCCAAGTTTAGTGTGCTAGGCATTCTTCTAACTCGAGACTTTAGTTCAAATGGAAATTTATATGTTACACGACGATTAGGTCAGTGCCTGACTCATTAGCATGTTATTAGATACGGAACTGACAGATAGAAAGGATGGATCGATGGGGCAGGGGCCTCACACTCCCTTATGCATTGATTAGCTTAGCTGCGTGGTTACTTTAAAAATTTGAAAAATTATTTTGTTCCTAAATAAGTGCAATGTTTCTGAGTTACCACATTGGCTATATTGACCAGGTTTTGATCACATCGTGGCCTTGGCTATTCTTGCACCTAGAAATGGCATAGCTATTTGTTCCAGACCCATTATGGTTATTTAGCCCTTGAGCTTTCTGGTTTTCTAGTGTTTAAAAATTCGGTGATCCGATCCGGATAGGGAATCGCCAGTACCGTTCTGGATCCAAGCATAAATGGGGATTCAGCGATTTAACTATGCAGACTCGGTATGCTGACGTCATCGATCGGTATCATGACATTACAAATCGGACATGTCACCAATCCTTTTCCTTTTTTTTTTGTCATAAAACCGGATATTTTCCATATGATCTAGATTTGCAACTTCAGGAACACATTTTTCGTATAATTTGGATTTGCAACTTTTAAGAATACATTTAAAAAACACATGGTAGTACCTGCCTGCCATATGACACCAACTTTAACCACGCGTGGGTCCCACTTGCGTGGAGCACAACTCACCTCCCATGTGAGCATTTTATTATTGAAACTTATGGGGTTGACCATTTATACCTCCACATCCTCCCACCATCCAACGATGTGGGATAATTACTTTTAAGCTTTCCATCACACTCCCTCTCTTTTGGGATTTTTCTTTACAAATTTTCCATTATTTTGTCTATCCCTTATACAAATAGACTAACGTCCAAGGAACCGCTAACGTCCTTTTAGCGTAATTATATTTATTTTTTATTTTTTATAATTTACAAAAAAAAGTATATAAAATTAAATTTTAATTGCATATAATTACAAAAAATAAATTACAAATAATATATTTACAAGAATTCCCCAATTTATTGGGAAAAGGCTAAACTGATGATGATATTTACAATAATTACTTACCAAAATCAAAAAATTTATAAGAATTAATATAATTATATGAAATTGTTTATGTTAATAAAAATTAATGTAATTATATTAAAGTTATGCCAATATAATTATGTGAATATGATCACATTAAAATTACATCATGTTAAATAAGCCTCAACCCGTGTACACGTTTTAATTAAAAAATTGCCATATAAAAGTTTTTGCTATTTATTAATAAAATGACTTTATTTTGGTAACTTTTTTACCATATTATTATTATTATTATTATTGTAGCTCTATGCATGTTGCTATTGTTTAGGGTAAAAATTTTTTTTTGAATTTTTTAATGTCTTAACATTGGAGTTTATAGGGGGTTTTATTTTTGTTTTCAATCATATGAAATGGAAGCTTTTTCTAATAATTATTGAATTTCAGTATATAATTTTATAGGTAGCTAGGTTGTAATAATTTTGGATGAGTAAAGCGAATTAATAAATGTTTGATACTTTGATGGTAATTTCACTTTATATGAAAATTTATTTTTTAATTTTATATTATGGAAGTTTTTTTTAATAGTTAAAATTTATTTTGATGCAATATTATAATATTATGTTACAATTAATAATTTTACAGATATCCATACAGGAAAACATCTCAGTATTAACCTAGTTTTACAAAGTAATGAAAGTACATAATGCACCACTCCTAATTTCTTTTAGAAACTAAAAGAACACTATTTAAGAGATTTATAGTGATTTTTTGAAAAAAGTTTGAGAAACAAATTGTCGATTCTGCCAATTCTCCGATTCCCCGATCCAACACGGGTATGGGCGTGACCAATTCGAGTCACCGATCCGTTTTTTTAAACATTGGGTTTTCCCGATCTGCTCATAACCTGGAGGTTTGGAGCAAGAGACCTCTATTGTTAAATTTTTTTACCATATCTCAACAATAATAAGGAACACCTTCACCTCTTCTCTCTTCGTGACATATATGTCTTACAATAGAGATTGCATGCATTTGACTCTTTTACAATAGAGATTGCATGCATTTGACTCTTTGACATAGTTTAACTCATCTGAGCTATTCATTGGTACTATTGATATCTCACCAGTTCAGCATTCAGTGGTTTCTAATGCATTGGTTAAGAATAAATCTAACACAATAGATGATCCTGTTTGGATTTTCGTTTCTAGATCTTGTTGGCTCTATCTTTTGGTATTTTGTTACTAAACTTACTTTTGTTGGTTATGGTGCATGTTGTATTGGAGTAATGTATGTTTAGATAGATGAGTGGCAAGGCAAAAAGGGATAGAATTCAAAATAAATACATTCAGGAGAATTTAGGTGTAGCACCAATAGGCCATGAGATGAGAGACAGTGGACTTAGATGGACTGGCCATATGTGGCACCGACCAAGTACAACACTTGTTAGGAGGTGCGAGCTAGTTCAAGTGGAAGGACTGAAAAGGGCAAGGGGTAGGTCTAAAAGGATGTGGTTGAAAGTAGTCTGAAAAGATATGGGGACTTATGGCCTCACCGAGGGTATAACCTTTAATAGAGTAGAATGGCGGACCAGTATTCGTGTAGCTGACTCCAATTAATTTGGAAAAGGCTATGATAATGATGATTAAGTTGTGTAAAAATTTGTGTGAAAGTGTGGTTGTTAATTATTGTGCATTCAGTTTAAATCATTGTAGTATAATGGTTGGGGCCCTTTCATTGCGATTAATTATTGTTCATTCAATTTAAATTGCTGTAGTATAATGGTTGGGGCCCTTTCATTGTAGGATGAAATCCTGCAATTACCTATAAAAGAGTTATTGTTTTGGTCCTTCTGCATGGATTTAGAACCGTTTTTGTGATGCTTTCTAGGAATTGGTTCCATATGGAATCATCTAGATGATATAAAATCATGCCCTTTATTGACAAATTTAAAATGTTCGCCTCACAATGCATTCTGATGTAAATCTTATTCATGTCTTATTTTTGTGGTTCTTCTCTGATGCAAATAGCATTTACAATTAAAATTGCTAAATTGTGTATCTGTATATATTATTCTTTTTTATTTTCATAGTATTTGGATGGTTGGTAAAAATGGCCTAAGCTCTATCTGGTATCTCAAAAGATGTATGTGGCTATGAAATCATAACTTTGAGGCTCTGTTGTTAATTTTAATGGCAGGTTGCAGGGTTCCCGGCGTGATCTATTGAGATTTGGCAGTTTGGGCATCAGTATCTCTTGTTTCCTTTTCGTCATCACAAATTGGAAGGTATGGTTCATAATTTATATAAGCTTATCAATGTTGTCATTTTGGAGGGTCTTTTCTAGTTATATTTCTCATCTGTTCTTTTTAAACGTTGTTGCTGCTGTAATTTTGTATTTTAGGCGTTTTCATTATAGAGCATAACATGGACTATATTATGGTCTTTTAGGCAATGCAATATGCATCTCCGAAGGCCATCATGAATTTATTATTTGGTGTCAACCGTCCAACCCTTGAGCAAAATAATGGTAGGAAATGCTCTTGAGAGGACGTTATTATTTTCTTTTATGTGTGTGCGCACTCTTCCTTATGTGTTTTTCCTTTGTTTACTTTATTCTTAGTTGAAGGTTTTTTTTCTCGCCTGCAGCAAAATTTGTGTTTAAGTTATTTTGATGATATGGAATAATATGCTTTGGTTTAAACATTAAAATGGAGTGGTGGAACTCCATCCTTGTTGGACTTGAGGGCAGAAACAGCAGCCCTTGGGTTAAGAATAATGTCATCACATGACACCTTTGAGAGGAAGGGATGATAGCGATTTCTATCCTGATTTCTCTCTAAATTTGTTTGAAATATTTAAAAAAAAAAATTCCCTCCCCTCTCTCTCTCTCTC